CATGTTTCCTGAATTTTTCGTAGTCTTCTGCTCTTTTGCCCCACTTGCTAGAACATGTGTTCCAGACCAAATTAATTTTCATTGCAGCCTCTTTTTTTCTCATCCCCTATCTGTATAGACTATTCACCATGTATCTGTGTTTATCATTGTTCTCTTGTTGCCCTCTAGATAGGCAGTCCAGGAGAGTTTCACTGCTCAGACCCTTTCTCTGAAGTTTTCATTTCTGTTAAAATAAACATTGAGATTGAAAACATTACAGTTTTCTAGGTAAAATCCGTTTAGGAGCTCAGGAGCAAAGGAATCTTTCAGGATTTCCTAATCTTCCCTTCCGTGCCAGCCCCCACTCCTTTTTGTTCATTGCTGTGCAATCTGTGCAGACATGCAATAGAGCAGATTTATTCTAGTTTTACACCATCTGCTTATCCAGTATAATTTTGAAGTTTAAACTTGAGCCCAGATGTATCCATCCAATGTTCTTAACAACTGATTATGTGTAAACCAGAGTAGGCTTTGGGTTTGGGGTTTTTTTTTTTCCTTTGGTGATGATGGGGTACTGTTGGATAAATGCCATGAATCGAAGCAGCAGATGCTTGCTCTTTCTCAGGCTTTATGTTATGATAGCAAGGTACTATTCCCTCACTGCCCCCTAAACTTATTGGAAACTTTGAGAAAATTCTAGCCAAGAAAAGATACCATTATTCTTATGAACTTATTTGATTGCATTTCATGTTAGTCATGCTGCCTATTACCCTTTATTTGATGTATAGCATCAGCAGCTTTCCTAAATTTCAAAACATTAGAAGAGATCCTGAGTTAAGTCCCATTCACTGCCATTGTATATACATCAGGTTTCAGATCCTGGTCAAATTCCTACCTGAAAAGTTTAAGAGTTTGGATTGCGTGCTTTGGCTTTTGTTTTTAATTTCATGTGGGGGTGGGGGGGCTGTTCTTGTGCCACCATAGTTCTTATTGAAATACTACTTCAGAATTTCAATATTTTGATGGCTGTGGAAATTGGAAGCATGTTGTAGATGGAGTTCCTATGACCAGCATACTTCATTTGCATTAAAGTCAGTTTTGCTTTTTCATTTAAATAGCTGATGTCCTTTCTGTTTGGTTACCCTGATCACATTTGACCAGACATCAGTCATATTCCTTCTCAGCCAAGCTCTTCATTTCCCCTTAACCAAGAAAGCAGAGTGTCCTTTTTATCTTGTTCACTGGGCCTGTTCCAGCTCCAAATTTCTGGAATGTTGAAGTGGCAAAATAAAACTTTTTTTTGAAGTTTTATATTTATATGTGCATTGTATGGCTTTGTCACAGCCATGTGACATTTTATGGTGCTGTTCACTGTGATTTAGGGGAAAAAATATGATCAATTTTGTCATATACTCTATATGTAATATTATGCATAAACACCCACTGCCCCCCCACTAAGAAAGACCAGAATTGCAAAGAAAACAGTTCTCTGGCATTTGGGAGAATTTAGTGATGATAAGCTGAATGAAAAAGGTAATTTAAACATAAAATGAAATTCTATACATTGAAAATACTGGAAGATGGGAGAGTACTTGAAGGAAAGGTATCACTCTGTGCTTGCCTAGTTCTCCTCCCTAAATACTTGTTATCTCATCAGTGCAAGTATTAAGCTAAGATTGTGGTTTTAGTTTTATCCAGTACTTCTGCTTTTACGTTATTTTAGCTAAGGGGTTTCTTACAAAGTCACCTATGTCCGGTATACCCATTATATGAAGTCTTTCATTAGTGTAAATGTGATGCCATTTCTCTAATTTGTTTGCCTTTTTTTTTTTTGCATTTCATAAGTACTAAAGTATTACTGCAGGGATTGATTAAAAACAGGTGTGTAGGTAGTTTTCTGGTGCTTCTGTAATCAAATAAAATTGCATTTTGTATCAATTGCATTTGATACACATGCATTTTGGATATGAGTCTCTAATCTTGCTACCACGTGTTGGCTATTGATGTTCCCCTCTTTTAGAGCACGTAAGATGGAGCAGTGATGGACAGTCTTCTGACTGCTGTCCTGCAACTACTTTTCTACATTTTGTAAACGACCAGATGATATCAGTAGTCCTCAGTTTAATAAGAGATTGAAGGTGCTAAAGACAGTCGATGTCTAACTCTTCTTAATCATAGAGGCAGAAAAGTAATCACTCCTAGACTGATTAGCAGAGTTCACACTTTGCTTTATAATGCCAAAGTTGAACCAAGCCTAATTAGTCAACAGAGGATGGGTGCTGATCCTGTGGGCACCAAACTGATACTGCTTTTCTGATGCTATCAGGAGTCCTGCTGTTGTCTTATTTTCTGTCACCAGATTTATTTTCATTACCACTGTATCTAATACCAAGCTTTCTTTTTTAAAAACCAAGATCCTGTCTACTTTTCAGCTCCAAACGCCATGATTTTGAGATTTCTATCCATCCTGTTCCTCCTAAAACCTTCTGTAAGAGGAATATAACTCAAATTTTTAGCTTACATCAGAGGAGCTCACCAGATTCCATCTGCACAGAGCATTTAAGCTTTTCCTAAATATGGCATCTCTTGGCACCCCTTCTTTTTGAACATAGAGTCTTCTCATTCCCAGCCCATTAGTTTCCTTTTTTGCTTTATCAGTATGGCAAGAACCTCACAGTAGAAACTATTCTCCTTCTTACTCCCACAGATGTCCCTGTCACTCATTCATCGCTCACTTCCCAGGAGTTCTGATGAGAAAAATTAAATTACTCCAGAAAACTGCAAGACCAGCAACTTAAAGATGAAATATAGGATAGAGTGAAGCAATAGTAAAGAATAGCCTCCCCTGTTAACTCTTACATACTACATGCTACATAGGAGGAAATATCATTCTTCTAACAGATGGCACTTGATACTTTCTTAACAGAAATTTGTAGTCTTTTCCAGTAGCTATTGCAAAGAACTGCAGGTATTTTTGGTACTGAACAGGCTGTAGCACAAGAAAATGGTTGGATTATCTGGTCTTTTCCATGCTTACTTCCCTTTCACACAGGGGGCATAAAAAAAATCTCTTATGTGAGATGTCTCAGCTACCATTTTTGTATGTTTGAAGTTTAGAGCTTTAATCTTCCAAAACACCCAAGAAACTGGTAAGGGGCTTACAAGATCATTTCTCAAGTCTAAATGAGTAAAACGAGGTGACTTACCTAAGGCCATGCAGTGCAGCAGTAGCAGAAGACGACTGTTCTTTCTCTGCATCTGGGCCCTTCCCCTGAGGGATATTGCTTTCTAAAAAATGTCCTTTCATTACGTTCCTCTTAAGTTACCATCCTGTCATCTATAATTCTTTTGCTATTAGTGATAGCATTGGTAGTGGTGGAAATGATGTTTTTGTTTCTCTTTTCAAACAACCTCATCAATCTGATTTAGTGCTGATAAATTATTTGATCTGGACTTTAGTTGTAAAAAGGCACTTTGCTCTTTTAAAAACTAAGATACTATCTTAAAAACTACTAGCTTTCGGTTTTAAAAGACAAAAGTCAGGGTTATTTAAGAGACTGTTCATATTGTCATAATCTGGATAGGGTTAATTATAGTTGCTATTGGTGGAGATTTATAGTTACCTTGACGAATGAAGTGATATACCAGAAACTGGTTCACAGAATATTCTTCTGTAACTTAATTTTACTTTTTTTTTTTCTTCTCTGGTTAATCTGTAAGCCTTGATGTTCACTATCTGATGAATGTGTGGCGAGAAAGTGCTGCGGAATGTAACATGATAAATTGTTCATGGTATTTAGATGACTGTTGAAGGAACCTTAGTTCAGAGATTTCCTGAAGATTTTTGCATTTTAGAGCCCTCTCTATCAATCTTGCACTTCCTGAGTAAATTTGGTGCCCGCAGGGAATAAGAGTGCAGCTAAGGAGAGCAGCACATTACCCAGTTCAGCAGCTGCTTGCTGCACACACCCTGGTTCTCCTGGTGTTGACTTGTTCTAATCTGGCATCACGTGGTCTTCTGGCGAAGGCGGTGGCTGCAGAACCTTTCCTTTAACTGAAAGGTTTTACAAGTGGATCTGTTGATCCTGAAGTCTAAACTATTCAGCTGAAGGAAAAACTTGTTTTGAGTTCATGTTTTATGCTGACAGCATGTAAGTACCTCACTTCAGGAAATGTTTGTCCTGAAGAAGCTATTACTATTATACTGCCTGCCTTTGTAGCTAAAATCAAATGCATTTAGCTTAGTTTTATTAGTACACAGTGCTGCTTAAGAACACAATCCGTTTTTCCAGGATTAACATTGCACATAATTCTATAGAGGGAGTTTGAATCTCTAGTGCAGTTTACAAGTGGATCGAGATTCATGCCAGAGTTCTGGATTTTTTTTTTTCCCCCTTTCCTGAGCTCCCCTGGGAACATTGTCTCATTCAGAAAATGTTTTTGTGTATTTCTACCTTATCCTAAATTGTTTATCTAATTCCAGTCCAGTAATGTTAAAGTATCTGTTCAATACTATTTTTTCAGGCACTTCTAATTCCCATTTCTTAAAATCTAAAATATATAGTGCTTGATTATAAACATATGTATATCAGATGTATGTTCTAAAGTTTTCTTTTTCTCATGGTTTAAAACTTATTTGTATCAGTTTATTACTATAAAAATTATAATTGTTAGTAGAAATGCTTGTTTTAATTAGTGGAAAAAATAGTTACTGTGAACTATAGAGTAAAAACATGAAATTTTTAAGTATGGATATGGATATTTGCTTCTGCTTATTTGCTCTGTTTAATCACAATTATTTCAAATTTTATTTCAGTTAATATTGATAAATGTAAAACTTCACACAGCTTTTAATTACAAAACATAGTGCTTAATAAAAATGTTGAGTATGAGAGTTGGTTTTTTTTTCTTGCGTTAAAGCTGTAACAAATGCTTATTCTTGGGGATTTTCAGCATTCTTGTGAGTAATGTAATTGCTAAAGTTCAGAGGACATTAATTGCTGTGCCTGTCTTTCTTACAGAATACAGTCGTTTTGAAGCTAAAATACATGATTTACGGGAACAGATGATGAACAGTAGCATTAGTTCAGGATCAGGATCTTTGCGAACCAGCCAGAAGAGATCCCTATATGTCAGGTAATCGTCTTTTTTACAGTCTTTCTAGTGTGTTTTTCTGCTTTTTTGTAGACTTAGTATTTCTGTATTTGCATTTTTATACAATTATTTACTCATTATTGAACTTAACTGATATTTATTTGCAAAATACATTAAAAATAAAACTTAATTTAGATTGATTAATGTAATATAGCTGAAAAATATGTACTAGCCCTGAGATACACTGACTTAAAGAATAAATACATGTTTTTGCTGAAGGATTATTGTCTCACTGACAGGTGGGACAAAAAGCAAGTAATAGCACCAGTCTAAAGTTCATACAGGGTATGTGAAGCCTTGACTTAATTCAGTTTGTCGTTTTTGTGACAGTATTCTTCATGTTCTCCCATGTTCTTGCATTCAGATTTATAGTCTCCCTTTATTTAAGCTTTCACAGATTTCAATCTTATTTCCTTCAACTTACTTTACTTGTATTCTCAGCTTGCATTAAGAAATCTTATTTCTATGTCCAGTAGTGTTTTGTTATAGAACACTTTCCATGGTAACCAAGAGAGCAAATGCATCAAAGAACTGAATATTCTTCATTAATTTATGCATATGGAATTAAACATAAAGGAGGCTAAAAGGAAATGGAAATATAAAAGAGCATGAAGCAGTTAAGAAAATAGGTGGTTTCACAGGGAAACTGTGGCAAGGTGCAGCTCATTAATGTGCCAACTAACTCCTACATCGGTTATCATATACTGATAAAGCATGAAGCTTATGGAATGTGAGTAAAAGGATTGCATTTTTAAAAATAAATTGTTTTTTGAGCTCCCTGATGGAGATCATCTCCGGACTGAATAAGGGCTGGCAAGGGCCAGAACATTTTAGTAGAGCAGGTAAGGCTTCAGTAGTGCTGGTGCTTGGGTTAAACTTGGTTTAAAATGTTGTAGGACCTCACTGGCTTACCTGCTAAAATGCAAGGCTTAGGTGCTATTGACTTTTCCCATCCAAAGCAGATACTATTTTGTTCGTGGTGCTGTATCTATTGAGCTATGGGAAAGAAAGCAAGTCTTACACAAGGCAGTTACTTGAGTAATTGCATATCTATGCTCAGAAAAGTTTGTCCTTTGCAAGCTATTTCTGAAGGCTTTGAAACAAATGTGGCAAATTACTTGTACAGGGTTTCTGTTTAGATTGACTATAGCATTTTAGCCCGTATATTCTGACCTATTATTTTAGTAGCCTTATCTGGATTCTGGTTTTGCAGAGCTGATCTTGGTTGGGGTTTTGTTGCGGTTTTTTTATGGGTTGCTTTTTTTTGTTGTTTTGGTTTTTGTGGTTTTTTTTGGTTTTTTTGTTTTTTACTATGTCTGCCTTAAATATTTTTGGGAGTCAGATTTTAAATATCTAAGGACAAATGCCTCAAATACTAAGGATAAGTGCTTGAATAACGGTTATCCATGTCTTAGAATTTCCACAGGTAGCTGTACATATGGATATTGTGTTGAGATCTTACTTTGCACAATCCCAAGATTTATCGCTTTAGCCCTCATCGTATAACTAAGCCTAAACAATTCTAAATGCTTTTATTTTGCTTGGTTAGCTATAGCCTGATTAGGTTCTAAACCGCTTATGTTCACACATTGGTCTGGTATTTTAAGCCACTGACAAGCATTTTGTGTTTATGTAGCTTTTATTCCTCCATGAAGTTGTTATCTGTAAAGGATTGAGGTTGAACTGATTTTGCCAGCAGCCTTCTCCAGGTTGTTGGCAGCAGTCTCGTGGAGACTGGTGATTCCTTTTACTAAGTCCCAAAAACCTTTATTGGAATCAACTTATTACTAAGTCAGAACAAAAATCTAAAATGCAAAAATTCTTCAGGAAAAGGAGTCTTCCACCCACATCTCTTAACAGAGAGTGCTGCTAGGGCTTTTGAGATCCACTCTTGTCACCACACCAAGAGGTGCCAAAGACTGGTAGGCAACTTGACATACACAGGGTGGGTTCACATCTGTTCTGTCTGGTTTCTGATGTAATTTTGACCTCACTGAAGTAAGTTTTATGATTTTTTTTTCACATAATGCTAGATACTGACAGAACTTGTTAGTTATCCAGCTTATGTCTTATTATAAGCCGCTCTGGTATGATTGTTCTGTACTTTTAATTGTACCAATTCACAGGCAATTTTAGTAACTGAAGCTATCTTTTTTTTTTTTTTCCTTTTCTGTAATATTTGGTTTTGGATATGCCTTAAAGGATCCCAGTTATGTAATGTAATGCTGAATTGAATGGTAAATCTAACAGTAAAATGTTTATAGGCATTCAAGCACAATTGTAGAAAATCTATCAAATAAAAATACTCTAAAAATAATAATCACTGGTGATTTCTCAAAATCATGGTAACAAAATAGCAAATGAAACCAGATACATCATTGTGGCCCTGTAATTGTGTTTGCCTGAAAAAACAATTTGAGATAAAATGGCAGATTTTTCTTCTTAATCGTAGCTGTATCAATAATGATGAATAGCAATATAACAAACAATCCTTGAGGGCAATAAAAATATAGCAATTCAGCAGCAGCTAACTCTTTGCACATCTAATTCTCTCTCTCTCCCCAGCTAATTAAGATGTACTGATTTAATGGGCTTCTCTTATTTTTGCTTTATATGGCTTTTGATCTTTATTCTAAGATGAGAGAGATTCTTTCATACAGTATTGGTTTTGCATGTGAACTACATCTATACCCTCTCCTCCTTCATCTGCAGATTCAAAAAGCATATGTGAAAAAGTGAGATATTTCCACGGTATCAAGTTTCTATGATAGTATGTTGACAGGGAGTAAATTTGTTCCATATTTTATCTTATCTTGTATGCCAAATCTTACTCTGTGCAATGTCTGTAGAATTCAAAATTGAAAATTTCTTTTAACTCTGTGCATTTTTCTGACCAGCATGATACATTTACAAATGCAAACAACAGTGCTGATTCCTGCTTGGATTAGAGCAGAAAATAGTTACATCTCCAAGTGGAAGAAACTTTACAGTTTTGAAATCATTAGGAAATTTTAACTAAATGCATTGAAAAATAAGATCTGGCCTGAAAAGTTTACTTGCCTACAGGAGGAGCTTGATTGGGCATCCCTAGGTAATTCTGGTAGTTCAAACATCTGGCTTCAAACAGCTTTCCCAAAAACTCAGGGAGAAAAAGAACCTTCATTCATTCTGAAGTGGTAAGATTAATTCATGTTTTGTGAAATAAGGCATGGAGATGCTTTTGCTGTAGGAGTTCCTGATTGCTTTGTTCAGCAAGCATTCCTTCTTTTAGGGTATTCTTCAGTAAAACTTGATCAGTAGCCTATGATACTGCAAGTAGTGAGTGTGGCCAGGTAAAAAGACATTCTGGAGAATTTGGCACTGTTAACACAGCCATTAAATTTTTGGCTTTGAAGCATAAACACTCATGAAACATGCAACTTCAGTTTCTGTAGACTTAGAATTATAGAATTGTTTAGGTTGGAAAAGACCTTTAAGATCATCAAGTCCAACCATTAACCTAACACAGCCAAGTCCACCACTAAACCATGTCCCAGAGCACCACATCTACACGGCTTTTAAATACCTCCGGGGATGGTGACTTCGCAGGGCAGCCTGTTCCAATGTTTGACAACCCTTTTGGTGAATAATTTTTTTGTAATATCCAATCTAAACCTCCCCTCACTACAGCCTCCTTTCAGGTAGTTGTAGAGAGTGAGAAGATCTCCCCTCAGCCTCCTTTTCTCCAGGCCTTTTCTCAACCCCAGTTCCCTCAGTTGCTCCTCATGTGACTTGTGCTCTAGACCCTTCACCAGCTTTGTTGCCCTTCCTTGGATGCCCTACAGCACCTCAATGTCCTTCTTGTAAGTGAAGGAACCAAGTTACCTTTTTAGTGCTGCTAGTTGTTGTGCAATACAAGGTGAAATGACAGGAAGGACTTGATGCTTTCTCTGTAAAATAATTTTTATGGCTCATGTGAATTTAAGTAGAACTTTAGAGTAAATACTGTGGGACTGCATTCAAAGCAGTAGTTGATCAGGAATACCAAATTTCTTTTTAAGTAAGTTAACGTTTATAACTTACACTAAATAAATGTATACATGGTACTGTTAATTGTATTAGAAGACTCCGTACAGGGAGTTAATAAGAGATATTTTTTATATACTAGTCTGTAGATAAATATGTCATCTTGGCTGTGAAGTGAGTTCTCATTTGACGACTTGCCAGGCATACAGGAAAAGCCATGTTTATCAGTTGGAATCAAAAGAGATTTTTGTTAATTCTGTTTGCTTTTTGGCTCATTTATTTGATTGTTACCAGTTCCTGGTGTTCCTATAAATTTTAGCTGCATAATTTTATCACTACTGTGTGACACCCTAGTTGGTCTTATTATAAAACTGTCTTTGTCAACTTTTACTTTTCCCCCCCAATAAAATTATTTATCTTCACGTGACCTCACCAGAGGAAAAGAGTTTGATGAAACTGCCTTTCATTGTGCAAAAACTATTCAGTGTAACCATTTATCTAGTTTGAAAAGCGTATGTTGATAATACATGTTTTTATCCATTTTTGCTTCCATTTCACTCCTGTGTAATTTTTCTCATGCAGTCAATATTTATTAATGCGGTTAGGCCGAGCTCACTGCTCATATAAGTTTATATTCAAACTGAAACTTGAAAATTAAAAGTAGTGCTGGTAGAAATCATTGCTTGAATGCAAACAAGAATTCTCAGAAAATAAATTTCATGATGCATTTAATTCAGTGAAAATGTAAACAACTTGAATCTGCATTAAAAATACATAATGGATTATGTGCAATTCATTTTGAAACACAGAATGATGTTTGTCCACAGTGCTTCTTGAACAAACACGTGCAGAATAAATCTGGAGGAATAACTAGTATGTGTATCATTTTCTTATCTGCAGTATTTGGACTATTTCGAAGAAAATAAGAATTCTGGGGTTTTGTTGTTTTGGTTTTTTTTTTCTTTTTTAAAGAATGTGGATATCTCAACTATTGCCAATACTTATCTTGTTTGCAGAAGCAAAATTGAACAAACATTTGTATTTGCTCTGAACAGAGATTAAAGTACAAGTCTTACACACAGCAATGTTATGGTATTAAACTGAAAGATGTTATCATGGAGGTTGCACTACAGAAATAAGGTGATATTTCAACCTCCAAGTGTTTTCAAAATTGAAAGCCTGAATTTTTTAATAAATTTTGCAAATTAAAAGTATTGCACATTAAAGTATAAGGCTTTTGTGTGTAATGAGAGTAAATATTTCAAATCCATTTTAAAATGTCTGTCTTGTTCTAGACTTTTTAGAAAATATTTATTAAAACCTTTATATCGTTATGAAAAGTTTTGATACTTTTTATGGCCCCAAAAAGGCATGGTGTCTTACCAACTCTGATTTTGCAGTAGACCTTATGCTAAAGATGAATTGATCTGACAGAAAATGTTGAATTTTTTCCCTGTAAGCAATTTGACATTTGGTTATGAGCAAATACAGTTCAAACCCGAAGAAATACACTCTGTGCTTTAGAAGGGCAAAATTCACAAATCTAAAATACATTTTGGAGCAAATAGTTACAACTTACAGGTGCTTACATGGGTTAAAAAGACTGAGACATTAAAAATCTAGCAAAAAAGGTACATAAAACTAGTGTTCAGGAAGAACAAGGCAAAGGACACCATTTTAAATCATGATGTTGTCATCTGTTGTTGCTACTTTCCTAAGGTTGAGATGGATTTGGTATCAAGTCTCTAAATCAAGATAGCGTATCATTTTGAAAATGCATCATGGACAAACTCATGAGCTTGTGGATGAAATAAGGTTGAGGATTTTTTTGTCCTGTGTCATGCAGGCACTTCTCACTTTACATAGGTGAGGTTCATACATTTTTTTTCAAATGTAAAATTAGAGTCCTTTCTAAGGCATAATCTTAGAAATATATCTTACAGTTTGGTAAGAAGCTGCTGTCATCATTCATTTCCATGTCTTCACTAAACCCGTGATTGTGCTGGGAGAAACATTCTGCAAGTCTCTTCAGTTCCTCAGGGAAGCGATCCAGATATAAAATGATCCAACAGGGTGAAAAGAAATTAATTTTAACCCCAATCAGTTCCACAGTATGGTGCACTGCATGTCTTTCCAGACAATTGTGCATTCATAAGTGAGAAGGGAGACAGAATCAGTACAAAGCAGGCATGGATGTGGGTCTGGATAATAGTGGACTTGCATAAACAAACCTTGCTGGCAAAGGGAATGTTAATAAAACTGTAGCCACGCAGCTGGTGTTCAGGTATTGCTAGTGCCTATTGTTGAAAACAGGCCTACTTTAGAAAAAAGAATGAGATTCTCTTGAAATGGTTGGAAATTTTCCAAAAGAATGCACATAAAGTTCTTTGCCTTCAGGTGCTGCAGCAGCATAGTTGTGTTCAGATCATATTTCTAAGCTTTTTTTTTCCCTGCCACCCTGTGAGCAGGATATCAACTTTTACTTTAAAGACAGTAATTTTTAATAAAATAATTCTAATTTGTAGCTTGGTATAAAACAATGTACGTTACAGAACTTTTCACAGTGCTGTATGCTTCAAATACGTGCCTTTTCTTCCCTAGGCTGACATGTAACTTGCTCTGTGCAAAGTACTTACGGGATTGCAGGAGGCATCTTCTGTGGACCTTTTGCAAAGTGCTAGAGTTCTCATTCATTAAACCTTCTGTGTGCATGAATACAGTACTATACTATATATTCTCTGTGCGTGTGTATATATGACAGAGCAAGAATGCAATCAGTGTTCTTGTTTTAAGCAAGTGTCAGAATGATGTAGTTGGTTGTTAGCAGCACCAGCAGCTTCATATTTTGTGCTATTCATACTCCCTTGTGTTTTTATTGCTTTTTCTATGTTTATTTTTTCTTTTCAATGTAGAGCTCTTTTTGATTATGACAAGACTAAAGATAGCGGCCTTCCAAGTCAAGGATTGAACTTCAAATTTGGCGATATTCTCCATGTCATTAATGCTTCTGATGATGAATGGTGGCAAGCACGGCAGGTAACTCCAGATGGAGAAAGCGATGAAATTGGAGTTATCCCAAGCAAACGCAGGTATGTCATGATATTTTGTTGACTTTGAGGTGTCTGCTATTAAATATCTGATACAATTATTATAAATATTGCATTTGCTTCTCTCTTTGTTGTTAATTCTGTACCACATCAGCCTCTTAGCTTTGTTTGGGTTTTTTAAAATAATCTGCAGTGGGATTCTGACTAACTCAGTGAGAAGTTTGTTAAAATCCTATTTAGCCTTAGGAGTTGTGTGCTGAAGTTGATAAAGGTGGTCCAAGTCCATTTCTCTGTTCTCACTGTAAGCAAGTTATGGGTTTAATAACATTACACTATTTACATATGAAAAGGTGCAAAGTAAATTTTGTTCGAATCATGACACTATCATGAATTCTTTCTACCCAAAACCTGGGAAACCAAAAGGTCTGTCTTTGGTGGCCAGAGTAAACGGAAACAGGGTGTTCACTGGCATATCGGAGACTCAAATAAGAGATTGGGTGCTCTGAATCTTGATATCTGCTGTTGACTGGTAATTGAGGCTGCTCACTTAGTGGGACAAGCTTTTTCTTGCTCACCCCCCCACGCCCCCCATTTGTTGAACCTATATATAATCACAAAATACTCCAATACTCTCAAAGGTCATCACTTGAGAAATAATACCCTACTTTTCCAATACAGTCTGCCACTAGCAGGCTGCCATTTTCTGAAGGTGTCATCAGCAACAAAAATCTGTACTAAAAAAGTACACCTATATGCTGACATCGTAACAAGTACTAACTGGAAGTCCTGGAATTTTGCTGATTTAACTTTTTTGTGTATATTTTTGTGGTAGAGTTGAGAAAAAAGAACGAGCCCGTTTAAAGACAGTGAAATTCAATTCCAAAGCAAGAGGAGATAAAGGGGTGAGTTCATGAAGTACTAATTACACCTGACATTGTGAATAGTAGCATTTTTCAGTGGTTTATCTATGCAGATTCAGCTTCAAGTTTTTTTGGTGAGAAGATTAAATTTTGTCAAATAGAAATAATTCTGAGTACCAAAGCTAACTTTGGTAGTAAACCATTGCCAAAACACTGTCAGTTGTATGAAGAATGAGCTTAGAAATACATATTGTCATTAATACTGTAATGTAATAGGAATTATAGGTACTAATCAAGTATTGAGCAATGCCATTTCTAACAGCTCTGCAAGTGCTGTTTATAAAGCAGTTTATTCCTTTAGTATGGATTGTGCTGCTGGACTCCCTTTTTTGGGGAGAGGCTTACTACCAATTTTCAGAAAAAGTAGTAATACGTTATTTTCTTTAAAGTTTTTAAATTCATATAGAAAGCAAGGAAGTAGAACTCAGCAGGGTCCCTATGATATAATGAGATTTTTATGATGTACACAGTTACGCAGACAGCATAAAGTAACTTCTTTGTTACGATTACGGATGCAGAAGCTTTAAAGAATTTCATGCACGGGGGTAGGCCAACAAAAACTCAAGGCTAGCACAATGGCTGACCAGAATCAGTCCCCATCTCATAGCTGGTTTATTTCACCACCACACTCTATTGGTGCAAATACTGATGTGGCTGTACTCAAGTCATGTAAAATAGCAAATGCAGATGAAAAATAACCCAATCCAAAAGAAATCCTGGTTTTAATTTTAGTCAATCCCTTGGTGCAGTTCTCTGCATCATATGCAATCTCTGTCCCAGTACACGTGATGGGAATGAGTGGTGAGAAACCAGGATAGCTACTTAAGTAGTAACAGGAATGTTTGTAGCCAAAATTATAGCAATTTTGTAATGGTAAAGCAGCCAATTTTGTTTTATTTTGAGGGTGAGGCTTTTTTGCAATGTTTTGGTCGTTTTGAAATTTGAGAAACAATTTTACAACCTTGCAGTTTCTACTAATAGTATATAACTAGTAATTTGAAGACTTAGATATATGCATTTTAGATGTAAGAGCCTTCTAAAGCAATAATATATTACCATTTCTTAAAATCTGAAACATGCTTTAAGCTTCTGTGGAAGCCGTTTCTTAAATAGTGATTATTTTTTTAATGGTGCTAATGTTGTAACATTAGTCATCATTATTCTAGATCCCAAAGATTCTTTTGAGTCATATATTTCAGTTACGATGTTTTTATAACTTCAAAAACCACATATATGAAGTATTAAAGCTTCAATACTTTATGCTGATAGTGTAGGACTTCATGCTTTCAAGACTGCCAAATCCATACATACATCCCTCTATTACATGGCAAAGTTTCCAGTTTAGTTTATTAATGAATAAAAAGTCTTGGTTGTTTCTTTAAGTATTTGCTTAAAAGGAAATCAATATCTCTAGTTATTTTCTGATGAACAATTACAGTACTGCCTTGAGGATTCACTGGATTATTTGCAGGTGTTTTCTGTTTTGGTACAGTCATATTTTGGTATTGGAATAAAACATTATCAACTGATGTGGGAATTTTTAACCTGATCATTTTTATAATTTGGATTCACTTTTCAGAAGTCACATAAAGAAAATGGCTTAAATACTTTAAATCATTTTCATTACATTAAGTAATTTTTCAAATGTTATGTTCTTTGAAAGATAATTGCATGGTTTTGTAGTTTGTCTACCAATAAACTGCAAACAGTTAATTAATGATGTATTTGAAGTAGCATTTTGACGATAGCAGAGTTAGTGCACAGTCACTGTGCGCTAGCATAGCACCAAAGACATGCATGGAATACTGAGTGGAAAAGCAACTACGCTTGCCATTGATACAGAACTGCAGTTCTTTTTCTTTAGTAACATTTCATTTTGCAAACACGCTTACACTGTTCACAATCTTTTGCTTCAGCTGTAAATGTTTTAACATTATGGTTTCTCCTTAAAATATTCTTCCTGTATTTGTCATGGTGATGTTTTTCCCAGTAAGTTGTCTGCACCCTGTATGTCCTCACAGACTGTGTGCCTTCCTGTGTCTGTATACAATATTCCTCCGTGGACAGGTTGAAATACTAGCTTTGTACAATTCTTCAAAATTTCTGCATTAAACCCTTAAAGAATAACCATAGTGATAGCAAACATTAAAATCCATGTTCCTTTCATTTTAAGGAAAGCTAAAACATCTGGAGCAGAAATGGTTACATTTTTTTGTTTGTTCCTTTCATATAAACATTTATCTCACTCTCTGTGCTGCTTCTGTTTTAATACATTCTTGCTTATGATGCCTGTTTATGATTTGCAGTGGGCTTATGAAAAATTTAATACAATTACTATGCATTTTCAACTAATAAGCGATTCTCTCTAGCTTTTTGTAATCATGGTATCTTTGAAAAATAATCTTTTTGCTAACCTTTTATACAAAATCAGTATAATATTACTTTTATTTTCGCTTATTTTTTGGCAATGGAACTGACTCTGACCATTATATGTGCAGTATATTAAAATTTAATATTAGTTCAGTAAGATTTACTGTACAGTTAAAATAATTATTGTTATGAAGTATCTTCAAAACTAAAGTGAAGAACCTGATCATGTTTTATGAAGTACCACTCGTTTTATTTTGACTATGTAAAATAGTCTCACCACCTCAGTTAAACTGCACCATTTTAGCTTTGTTACATTTATTTCCCTATTCTTTTGCCCAAACTGAGGGACTTGTTCATATGGAACAATTATATAGATGTGAGACTTCCACTTTTTGAAATTCAAGTTACAGTATTTTTCAGTATACTCAGCAAAGATCTACTCCTCTGGGTGTATTTCTTTGTTACCCTTGTTCTGTAGATTACATTAATCTTTCCGGTTATGAGAAATCAATTGCAATGACTTGTTGACTTCAGATAAAGAAGGTCAGGAGGACTATAACCTAAAACCTTGCCCGTGCCAGCTATGGTTCCTGCAAGCATATGTTGGCTTGAAACCAGTTCTTTTGTCCATAAGCCAGGTTGATAATTTACGAATTCTTACAGTGGAATGACAGTTTTAGTCACACACCGATGCCAGCCCATTAAAGGTTTTCTGGAGCTCTTGCTTAACATAGTATTGCTACTTCCAGAGCTTAATGTCACTGGTTGTGCTCCCATGCTACCATGTGCCTCTTTAATACCTGATAATTTTAAGTAATTTTTTAAAAAAAAAAACAATGGTAATGAAAATATCACTGGATGTTTCAGTATCTGATATTGCCAAGCAAGTCTGTATTAAAACAGATGGCCAGAAGGATTGTTAATACTGTAGCAGGATGCAGCTTGTGTGTTGCACTATAGGCATTCTCTTTAGCAAGGCCAAATGTTAGTTTTGTAATTGTACCAAAGAAGGTGGCCCACTGTTTGGAAAAAAAACAAAAAACCTTTGTCATTTTGAGCCCCAGTTATGACTACATTTCATTCTTTACTTCATGCTGGTAGAAAAGATAATATATGTTTTTGCAACTGTATTGCATATAATAGAGGAAGATGAGCTCACCCTGGCTGAAGACAATTACTTGAAAGTTAACATGCTCCAGATTTTAGAAATAGCTGTTAATAGAGTCTTTAATGTATGAATTGAAAATATTTTTGAGTTTTTTTTAAGTACCTTTTAAAAAATGGTTCTGCAGAAGTTTTATTACTTCCTGCAGCACATGGGCTCTGCTTGGCTTAGAAATAAACAGTTCCCCTGCAGCACAGGGTCTCAAAACCAAGTGGGCATTTTCTTACTTTTGCCATCCTTCCCATAATAGAGTTTATGCAAACCAAATGACAAAAATGTGGCAAATTTCATGTCTTGGCAAAACTGGTTAGATGATTCAATTATGCCTAAAGATGAAAAGAAATTTCAGCTGGCTTCAAGTTAGCTGTCTTAGTTCTAGTTCTGGGCATAATTGCAATAAAAATGTTACTGATTTGTTTAGATGTTCAGTTCCTTTATTGACTTAGAACAGTAAATTAAAGGTGCTGTAGTCACATAATGTCTTCAGCAGAAGATGTGACAGATATTAACTAAATTCTGTGTTACATCTGTAGACATACCTATATTTGAATGAAAATACATTGATGCTCTCCATCACTTAGACAAGGAGCACAATAATAGTTTGTGTGGTGGATATGTATATGTCTGTATAGGTAGCTCTAGAAGTTTTCATCACAACTGAGATGCAGAAATTCTTCAGCAATACAAGTAGTTAATGTCAAAAGTTGCTGAAGAACATCCTTGAACATACTAGGATTTTTCTGTGGTAATTCTCTGTAAAGGCACCCTTGAAAACACAATTGCCACAGTAAACAAATGAAATTAATGTGTATCTTTGGAAAGTTAATCTTGGTATTTGGATGCAGATTTACTTAGAGCAAAGTCATTTCTTTCAGTGAACTTGCAATGAATTGCAATTGTGAAAGACTGAAACAAATACAGCTTTTGGGTTTTTTTTTATTGTTTGGATATTTTAGCTAGACACGTTTCTTTTTTCTTTTTTTCCTATTTCACTCTTACTTAGTTTTATCATAAAAGCATTTGGTACAATACCAGCTTTTATCTTCCATTTTACTGTATGATATATTATTTAGCAGTTGTCACCAAAGTATTTACAGTTTTGCCTTTGCAAATGGGTAACAATGGCAAATACTTCTGGTGTGCTGTTGTGATGTCAGCTGTTTGCAAAAGCACGTGTAAAGCCTCAGCAGTTTATTAAAACTGTAACCCCTATATTAGATAATATCAGTGGTTTATTTGACTTTGAGTTCATTATGGTTTGGCTATCTTATAGCAGCCTAGTTTTTCACATCTTCTTACACTCCCAGGAAGCCTAAAGTTGTGAAATATATGTCGGGCCACATAGGATGAACCAACCTGCCGGTTCCCTCAGTAGCAAGCATGTGAAGTACGGAGGGTGTGAGCAAAGCCATGATCCCGATTTCTGTTTTTAATGAGCTAAGAAGATAGCGTTAAACTGAAATATGCACTGCATAATGTGGTTACAGGAGTCAGCTTCCACAAAGCTGCTGGTCTGGGCCTTTGTTCACACAGACATTAGACATCCTTTGTTTTGCCCCTCCTTCTCTTCTTCAGCAGTCATTCAATGACAAGCGTAAAAAGAACCTCTTTTCCCGAAAATTTCCCTTCTACAAGAACAAGGACCAGAGTGAGCAGGAAACCAGTGATATTGACCGTAAGTATGTGGCATTTGATGGAGAGCGAAGCACACGTAGAAGGGCCTGCTAGATTGCAGTAGGGTGTTACCATGGAGACAGTTTCATGAGCTGCAACAGGCTATTGAGCTTGAGGTGCCGATGACAAACCAATCTACACAATCAATAAAACCGTTTGTTTGCTGTCACAGTAAAATTTAACCCAAGAGTATCCCAGTTTGGAATAAACTGGGTAATACTGTTGAGTAACAGTGTGTGCATAACTGGAGGAGATAACAGCCTTCCAGCGCTGTCAGTGATGGTTCCTCACTTCTGACTTGGAGGAGAGCACACAGCAACCAAGAAAGCTTACCAGCTTCTGAATCAGTCCCTTTAGACTGGTTGCTTCAAAGTCATTCCATTCTAATTTGGGTTTTCTAATGAAGAGATTTTCCTAATGAATGCTTTGATGCTTTGATTTTCATCATTGCTGCCAGCACTAAAAAAAAAAAAAAAAGTGTCTTCTCAAAAAGCAATTGCATAAGTTTGCTAATTCAGACCAGGTCTGCTAAAAACTGTGTTCTCTGCCATTTGCATCAGTGATTACACTTCACGTGCCAGTCAGGTCAAATCTTACAGACTCATCTTCTCCTGTGATGTTCTGGGAACTGTCTCCTGTCGTAGCGCCAATTTTATATATTACTGACAATTATTTTCTTTGTGATTGTCTTTTTATTGCTTGCCCTCTGGGGACTACTCTGCAGGAGGTCCCTGACGACATGGGATCAAAAGGCCTGAGTAAGTGATCAAAATACTCCCAAGTTATTTTAACCTCCATCTGAAAAATTACTACTTTTTTTTTTTTTCAAACAGGTCTCTTTGAGACTGGTGCTCTACTGGCATAAGGAGGTTGATTCTAAAAATGTTTCAAAGCTTTTTCTAGTTTGTAATGTTCTGGAGGTTTTTGCTTTCAGGAACGTGTTACTTTAATTCATGTGACTATCACAATAGATGGTTTTTTTGCTGTTGTTCAGAAGCTTACCAGCGCTTCCTTGTTTGTCCTTAATAGTACTATGTTTTTAAATTTGGTGATTTTTTTTTGTTACTTTTATCTTGTCTTTGTGGTTTTATTTATTTAAAAATAACCTATGGCTTTTTACAGCAATAGTACAACCATTGCCATAATACTTTAACTAGTTACAGTTTTCAATCCTCTCTCTAGGTGACTGACATTTACAGCTACTTAAAACAAACAAAAAACTTTGATTAAGAAATGTCATGAGAGTTTTTCTGCCTGACTTGAACTCTTATGATGCTTTTAGAGCAGGTAGAGGGGTAGCTAGTAGGAGACACATTAGCATTTGTTGTATTTCCTGCAGAAATGTTAACTACTTGAATACAGTAAGATTCAGAAGATGCTGAGTACTTTTAACAGACCTGTTTGTGTACACAGACACCACCACTGTACTAAAATGACAAATAAATAGTCAAGACCTTGCTTTCATCACAGATATTAAACACATATATTGTTATGTGTTTATGGAATAGCAGAATTAGTCACTAACGATAAAGCTCGTTAAAGATAACTTTTCTTCCCAGGGCTTAACTTATGCACGATGTTCCCAAAATGACACCTAAGAAGCAGTGTACTTCTATGCTCAGCCTCAATCATGAAATAAAAATAGTAGTAGCTGTAACATTAGTTGTCCATTTCTGTAATGGCCAGTTTCAAGGAAATTCTTGGTCTAGAGCAGAAGACCTTAGCAACCATTATGGCTGTATGGTTTAGAGCAGAAGATCAAAAGCAGCCTTTATGGCCTCATGATCGTACCTAGTTCAAACTGTGCTATGGTCCAGAACTGGCACTAAGTGATTCTGTTACAAAAACAAATGGGTTCTGGCCTGTTTGTCAGCACAGTCAGACTTTTTGAAACTGCCTTACCACACTTAATACACGCTGTGTTACCGGGGCTCTGCAAGACTGCTGCTCTGTCTGGCATTTTAGGCTTTACCTCTTCACCTGTTGTGCCCATTATCAGACTACTGCAACACTCGTATTCTCAATTGACAGTATCTCCCTTTCATGTTCTACCACAAGGCTTTTAAACATCACTATTTACCTCTTCCATGCCAATGGGGACATTCTTTGTCCAAGAAAACAAAATAGTAGATCCAGATTGCTGGTACTCGCAGACTTGAGGACATATTTGTCTGTTTTCCTGCACAGAAATGAAATGAGGGAGTTCAGTCTAGCCAGAGATTTATGGTTTAAAGATATTCACTTTATCCAAAAATACTGTAAAAGATTAATTAGTTTGTGTGCAATGACAGCTTTTTAAAATGTTTATTAATCACTAGAAGCAAACTTGCTTCAGAACTGTATTCTTACTTCTAGAGTCCCCTTGGTTCCTTCTCTTCAATCTTGTAGGGGAAGAACCTCACTGAATTTAATGTATTATAAAGGCTCCTCATGACAATATACATTATCGTATGCAGTTAGGTACATAATGTCAAGGTAATTGTATTTAATTTGCATAGGTCAATGATAAACTTCTTTATGCAGTCTTAACCTGTGAATGTTAGTATTTTTCATTACAAATAGACACACTCATTGGGTGGCATGAAAATTGATTCTGTACAATAAAGTTCAGCAATATCAAAGTTCATATTTGTTCACCAGATTTGTAGAATTTTCAAGTGACAGAATAGATTGATACCTGAAATTCTTCAATTGCATTAATTTTTATCACGAACGTATTTAACACAGTTACATAGCCTAAAATAGTAACTATAAACACCTTGTAGCTACTGAAGTATTTTACTATGCAAAAGGCATTAAATAGGGAGTTCAGAATAAAAGTCAGAGGCTTTTGAAAACTAGAGCATTACGGGGAGGGGGAGGAGGAAATTAAAATCTTAATTCTGCCTTGCACTTCAAGTAAACTATTTAATAGACAATAGGAAAGTGTCTATTACTGAACGTGCTACACTGTATTTCCTGCAATATGTTCCAGTATTTTCTGCTTCTAGTCTCTGAATATAATCAATCAATTGCCTGCATAAAAGTTGAAATGCATAATCCCATAGTTATTGCACAACAAAATTCATCTTGAAGTGAAAACCTAAACATTGCAGGGTTACATGGGAACTATGAATTAGTGTACTTTTCGTAATCTTATTTTGATGTGCTATTTAATGTTTTTCTTTTTATTAACATCCATTCCTTTCGTATGAAATTAAGCTTGATCCTGAGAGCTATGAGAAGTACCTTAAAACTTTTATATGCAGTATGTATTGATTTCAGCATTTTGATATCAGTATTGTCTTTCATCTGGATTATTTTGTGTCAATTTGCTTTCTTTTGGACTCATGCCATTAGTGTGTGTTCCTTATTTTTTTCCCATTGTGTTGCAATTTCAGAGCATGTAACCTCTAATGCCAGCGATAGTGAAAGTAGTTACCGTAAGTGTTTTTCAGTTCTTTATTTATTTAGAATCTTTGTTTAGTAGCTCTTTCTTTGGTTTTGTTTGTCTGTCTTTTCTGGGTATTTACATGTTAAATAGAACTTCTGGTCACCTTCAGGTGAAATCCATATTCATGTATTTGGTGGGGTACTGCAAATTCTGCTGTGTCTTTGTTTTTATACAACTGACTAGAGAGAATCATTGCAAACCTCCTTTATGGATATTTTTATTGTGATCTGTGATTTTCTTAGTTCAGCTTAATTTTAATAAATTCCAATTCTTTATAATTATGTGAGCTAGATAGACTTATTAAAACCTAAATGTAGATTTAATGCTGACAAATAATTATATGTAGTTGAGCTTAATACTGGAAGCATAACTAAACTCTGTAATCCGTTAAATAGTGCAGTAACGATCTACAGTTTTTCACAACTGATACTCAGATTTAACATGTATAGGTTTGTAATGAAAGTAAAGATAAGCAAACATGTATTTACCCTTGCTTTCAGCTTTCATTTATCTATTTTGTCAAGTGTGGGTGCTTAGTATGAATTGTCTTAAAAGCATACGACACACGTTCAGTGCTGGAGTCAGTTATGATAAATTGGCACGCTAGGCACGCATGCACATTCTCTCTCTGAAGACATAATATCCTTTAAATACTAGACTGAGTTAGCTTTTTTACTAGCCCAGGCTACAGTGCTATTTACTATTATCCAAGGTACGGTAGTACTGCCTGTTCACAGTGGGGAATATACTGCATGATGCTGCTCTACAGTGCTTTAAAATGTCTTAAACCAGAGCCAGAACTTCAGTCCCACTGGTCATTTCCATGGAACAATTCCTCAGTAAGCTTGCAGTGTCCAGACCTGGAACCCAGGATAGATCAGAGCAGGAAAATGGAAAAGTTGAGGATTTGAAGAGGAAAACAAAAAGAAGGAACAGTAAAAGTTACGCAGCGTGGCACTGAGTGGCTCACTCATCAGTTCCTGGTTGCCTGCAAACTGTGTAATGGGCACTTCAGAAACAGATATTATTTATGTTAGGGTAATAAGGAAGATTTGTTCAGAAGCTGTAGATCTTCTCAGAGGGAGTGATCCACGTTTTTTTCTTCCAGATGATTACACTTAAGGAGAGAATTTATACATGTATATAAAAAACTCACAGTGTCGTAAACTGTAATTGAAAAGAAACCAATTCGGGGAAGCATTTGTGCTCCCCAAGAATAACACAAAACTGAGCATGTATGGAAGTTGCCTTTGCACATATGACAAACTTACAAATTTTAACCATTTTTAATGACAATTTAATGACACGAGTTTGCTGCTTTCCTCTCTTCCCCTACATCCCAAGGTTTTTTTCAGACCTTGCTTTATTTATGTTTAAAGCTCATTATTGGTACTACTAGTTAGTTTTTTACTCCGTTGTTGCTTGAGAAGCCCTGATTTTATTATGAATGTCGTGGATTTGCTTATCTGAACGTGTAATTCCAAGCACTTTTTATTAAAATTATTTTTTTAATTTCTTCTTACTGCTGTCTAATATGAAAGTTATCTTGATTACAGATGAGTACGGTTGTTCAAAAGGTTCATTCTATTAATATTCATTTTTCCAAAGTATTGAAAAGCAGTGACAATATATACTTTTTGCCCTCAGTCAGGGGATGCTTTTACTTGTTATTATCTCTTTAGTAGTTTGCTTAATTAATTTTTGACCTTAGAGCAATGCGACTTCTCCAAAGTATCTAATTATATGTGAGCTGGATCTTTCATAGATAAGTAGATAAATTGATAGCTTTTCCTCTCCCAAGCCCAAAAAAGGGTTCTGAAAGTATATACTGTCCTTCTAAAATCCATTTGCATGAGTGACTTTTTAAGACATTAAAATGTACAGGTTGCATGGGTTTGTGTCTGTCTTAACATATTCCTCACTTGCAATAACTTAAAAATTTAGAAATGTTCATTCATGTATTGCTGTAGTACCGTTTGAATGGAAATTTATTGCAAATAAGAGAAATATTTCTCTTAATGAAATTGTAAATTTTAGATTTAAAAGGTCAATGGTATTTGCTGTGAAATAAAGAATAGATATATAGAAGCAATATATGAATTTATAAAAGCCTTCATCTGCCATCTGTTTCTGTACAGCTGTGGTATAGCATTGGTATGTTCCTTTGCCTGTTATAAGTATGGCTTATGAACTCCAAAGAACGTTCTAAAATCACACAAGTGAGTCATTGAAGGACTGTATTTTATTCTAAGTTCATAGGAATGTCATATAATTTGAACGTGTATCTTCAGAATTATAAAGTCTCTGCTGTCATGGAGTTAATTTTTAGTGACTCCATTGCAAGAAATCTTACTCAGAGACATCTTGCTAGGCTAGAAATAATCTTTTAGAGAGATGGCAACTGAGGTATATTTCAGATGCTTTCACTAACATTTAAAAAGCTTACAGCTGTCAAAGGTCAAATTTCAGTTATTTTAGTTTCATTCACTGCTGATGTGCTTTCTGGAGCTGAGAACAATACAAAGCATTCTTTGTTTTCAAGTTCATGCTCAAAAAATTCATTAATAAAGTAATAGTTATTTAGTATATACAATCATAATCTTTTATTTTGTAGAATTAGAGTGGTTAATGGTACTTATATAAATGCCACTTCATGATAAAGTTAATGGAAGAGATGGACACCTTGATGTACGTAGTTGTCAGCCCTGTAGAAATATAGAAAAATGTTATTGTAAATGCTGCCTTCAAAGTATGGAGAATGTTCGTGATGAAGGTGGCATTGCCTCTAGCAGTGAATGACAGCATGCATGCATTTCATTCAGGGAAATGTGTATAACAGCATTTCAGTAATGCTTTAAAGTTCTTCTTGTGCTTGATGTCAGTTTGACATGCTAACATAAACCAGGAAATTATTTATACTGTATGTGTCTTATGCTTTAAAATTTTGTGTTTGGCTTATCTTTGTGATTTTTATAATTCATCACTCTTGAAAAATGTCCTTCATCAGTATCATTGTAATGCTTATTATTGAGGAATGTCTGTATTGTTATAGTTCATTTAATGACTCAATTTAAATATGTTGGTTTAGAAAAAAAAATCTATATATGTATTTGCATTTTCATTTTAGGTGGCCAAGAGGAGTATGTCTTGTCATATGAACCAGTCAATCAACAAGAAGGTTTGTAGATCTCACTCAGTATAAAATAAATATCATCTGAATTATCAGAATGCTTCATGTGCCTTTTGTACTGAGCACCACGATAAACTTCTTCACTGTTTTGAACTTGTTACCATTATTCGAATGAATAAATTATAAAGGCATAAATTATTAAATGTAATTGCTAAATTATTTAGTGTACAATCCAAAGGTGTGCTACTTAAAATAACTTATTATTTGTAGTTTACATTGCATAAAGAAAATATGGTATGTTTAACAGTTTGATCAGTGTGAGCCCAGAAATTATAGATTTCTTCTGTTTCATATTGCTTTAGCATTCTTACTCTTGCAGTTCCTTTTCTCTATCACAGTAAAAAGTGTGTCATAGATCCTTTGTTTATTTTAGCAAGCTTTAATTGAAATGTCTCTAAAACATGGCAGTCTTCCATTTCTGTATGGGCTTCTTGTATGGCTAATTTGGTTAGCTATTGCCAGAATATTGCAAATAAGGCGTCAGTTGAAGTAAATACACATCATGTATTTACATGAATTTTGAGTATCAAGATTTCATTTTTGGTTTCATGCATTGAGAGTCAGGACCCAGTTGCTTTTAATATCTAGGTAAGCGTAGCTTAAAGCGAGGGATGTGGAGGTTTGTTACCTTCAAAGGAGCAGCTCTGTAGGTATGCACACCAGAGGGTCTCACAAAATGAGAAACATCTTTTTAGCTGGCATTAGCCTCCCAGATTCTGACAACTTAATGGTTTAAGTGAGAGCGATAGTAGTATCAAGTGAATTAGTTTCAAGGTTGAAGAGAGAAAGATGTGAATGAGACTTTGCGCAAGCCGATGGTTTAGTAACTACCATGTTGTAAAACTAAAGATTTTAGAAAGCCAAGTGCTTTGGCATTTAAATACGTGAGTGTAATTCCCTTGGAGTCTAACATAGTGTAAGGAGAAGACCAAAAAAGAACCAGCACCTCGTACCTTTGCTTAGGTGCAGTAATACATGCCCTACACGTTATCTGCATTTGTCTGCTAATTCAGTTTCACAGTATTTTTATCTATTTTTAAGAAGCCCAGAGGAATAAACAACTGTAAGGACCTAAACAGATTTAAAGGTGCTTGGATTTGAGACACTAGTGGGCCACCCTTAGTCTTTAAGCAGAGATGTTTATTGTTAAATTAACAGATTGGCAGTTACTGGATCCCAGACATTCCTTTCGTTAATATATTAATACCTCTGAAAGGAAATAGTTCCAAGAGTCAAATTAAAATATATTTTATAGGTCAGACTTTATTTAATTTGGACTTATTTGCACAATAAAGACAGATTGAACCTAGAAATAAAACTTATACATCTGAATTTATGTGCTAATGCTAGGATAGTTAGACATTACTGCGTTCATGGTTCTTGCAGTATAATCAGGTATTTTCTGCTTGAGCTTAATTTACAACCAAAACTACTTTATAACTTTATAAAAAAATTAAACTGCTTTTAAAATATACCATACTTCATTTTATTAAGGGTGTTAATAGTTACAGAAGCTATATGTAGTTGAGTCTTTTCCTATATGAATATTTAAGTTGTGGTCTTACAGGAAGAGCAGCAGCTTCTCCCAACACAGCACTAGAATGTCACAAACTCTGCTACTGCTTAGGTACCTCCTAAGTGAAAAGATTTTCAAACTTCCTCCTTCTGCTGTTTTCATTAGAAGGAAGGATGTTACTTTGTGAAAAGATTTTTTTTTTTTCCAAAGACATTTAAGGCATCTTTGATTCCCCAGGAAAAGGATTTGAAAGTGAAGATCTAACATCTTAACTATCCCTATGGTGTTAATTGATATGCATTCTTCAGTGTGTTTTTCTTCTCTATAGGAGTACATATTCTTTTAGGTATTAAAACCATTACCATGTGTTAAAGCTTATTTTGCTGAAGTGTGTAAGTTACCAATCATACTGAAATGGAACTGATGTTATTCCTTTGTTTAATAGTCAGTTACACTCGACCCGTGATTGTGTTGGGACCCATGAAAGACAGAATAAATGATGATTTGATCTCAGAATTTCCAGACAAATTTGGCTCATGTGTTCCACGTAAGTCTCAGCAAATACTAAAGCAATTCTATGTGATTTTTTGTGTTTTGTTAATAGACATCCTCTGTATGTTGAGTTAAAAAAAAATTAATATATTGTCTAAACTTTATAGAGCTATCTTAGTTGTCAGTCATTTCTTGGCTTGTGACAATTTTGCAGTATAAATGGGAGAATATTTTTGGATATTGTAGGGGAAAAAAATCACTTGTTTTCATTTTGCTTTAAAAATTACTGGTTTATATTTAAAGATACTACTAGACCAAAACGAGATTATGAGGTGGATGGACGTGATTACCATTTTGTCACTTCTCGAGAGCAAATGGAGAAGGATATTCAGGATCACAAATTCATTGAAGCTGGCCAGTACAACAATCATCTTTATGGAACAAGTGTCCAATCAGTGCGAGAAGTAGCAGAAAAGGTAAGTCAGTGTCAGTTACTTTCATTTACTGAGGTGATTATCTGACTCTGCTGACAGGGGAAAAGAGAAGAATGGCAAGAAGCCATTAGGAACCCTCTGACTTCTAAAAGAAACTAGAAACAAAGTGCATTGTCACAAATGCATTTAGGGAAATAATAATTTGGAGTAATGAAGAGCATGGTGATTAAATTATGGGAAAACAGCAACCATAGTTTGTGCCTTCTTAGAAAACAGAGAAGAAGTAATTGGAATTACAGGTTAATTAACCTAACTAACATACATAGATCATTAATTAAGAATAGTGGTGGTGCAGGTGATTAATATGATGATCCATTTGATATAGACTAGTGCAGAAGAAAACTTGTAAAATTGTTATTCTTTGTGCCCTTCATGGATTTAGCTGACAGAGGGAAATGAGTGAGTGGAATAAACTCAATTTTTGAAAGACATTTTCTATAACTACCATTAAATTTTGAAGACTGACTTTACTATTTCTGTCTTGAACAGATTTTAATTAACTATTTCTTGCAAAATCTAAATATTTCTAAATTCAAAGTGAAGTTTAGTTGAGTTCTCTGAGAGAGTGGGAAGCAGGAAGCATGTTTCTTGGCGTACGATGCTTGTTTTTAAAGAAAATTTTTTGGTGAAAATTCTTTGAAAATGTCTGAGTAGTGTTCTGCTTACACTTAAGGTGCATTTACAGCAGACAATGTTATCTGATACGTATGACAGAAGAAACAGCTATTTTCTAGGTGGGAACTCACAAGCATGAGCACTTAAAGTCTGGACATGTGGAGGGTAACCTGTGTGACATAGGAGTTAGTGGTTAGTCCTCTGGATAACAGCGTAGACCATTTTGGCCAAATGACTGAGTATTGTTATTTCTGGCAAGTGTTATTTACTGGAGTGAAAAACAGGGAGAACACGATGAGATTCTGTGGTTCATGTGATGAAGTTTTCTTCTGCTGTCTTTCTCACCCTGTGGAATAGAACATGGCCCTGTGGTACATAGCAAGAAAAGTAAAGAAAATTAATTACAAAATTGTTAAAGTAAATGAACAGTGCTTTGTATGGGAGACTGAATGAAGTTGTGAAACTATCCTATGTGGTTAAATGATGAAACTATTTATTGAACAGCTTCAACTTTATAACCCTGTCAGCAGTTGCTTCACCTGGTAGCCCAGTTAGAATCCTTCGGTTCCATCCTAGACCTGAAATTGGCTGTTGTCTTTTGCCCATCTAGTGGATTAGTAAGGTACAAACCGATTCTCAATCTTTTATAAATTGACATGAAGAGCAAATTACTACCAGATGTCTCCATGGTATTAAATCTCTTGCACAGCCTCCATGGCACTTTGGGGAGATGCAGTAATTTCTCAGTTCCAGCTAACATTATTTTTCTGGGAAACAACAGCCTGTCCTTCAGAACTTGACATTCAGAATCGTGACGGGGCTGCAAAATGGTTGATCTGGGGCTGCTCCCTCTTTGTATTCCTCTTTGTCTTGCTTAAGAGATGAGTCCCTTCAGTGGGTCTTATTACTGGGGTACAAAAGATGATTTCTAAGTTTTCTGTGATGAATTTAGGGGCAGACATAACAGAAGTGACTGCTACTACCCCAAAAGTACCAGACATAGTATTCTTGCAATAACTTTAAATTGTGCTTATTCACCCATGCTTGCAGCTGATACTCCTGTCTCATTTCCTTACCTGTAATGGACACAGCTAAAGGTGCTTTCTGATGCCATTGTTCAGTTCTTGTAAAAGGCACCGAGTGCTGTGCTGTTTCTCAATCAGAATGCAGTGCAAGTAAGGAACTAAAAAATATGTAAAATATTGTTTAAATGCACCATACAGAGAGCAAAATAGCTTCCCTAGATGAAAACATGATAATTTTTTCATGAAGTGTTTGCGTTTCTTTTCCTTGTCTTCCAAATCTTCCCTTGAAAGTAATTTTTCATATTTTCTTTGGAATTGTTAGCAGCTTGCAAATCTCTGTGTCTGAGGCCACTGTTAGTGCATGTTCACTATCAATTTTGAATAAACTGTCACAGTTACATTCCATAAGGTCCAGCACAGCTGCTGTGCTGGCAATCCAGTCCTCCACCCTTTGCCCAGAATCCTTTGTCATCTGGCATAAGTTGTTGGGCCTAGCACAGCAAATACTAAATGTTTTATTCACAAAAGGGAAATGGACCAGGTAATGCTCTTAATTCTCAATTCCCGGAGCATGTGCCACGTTTAAAGAGAAACCATTTGAAAGATGTGGACAGGTCCGCACATGTAGTAAAATACTCTGCTAAAACATACAAACACCTTTCTTAAATGATACCGGTCAGCATCCAGATCCATGGACTGTGTGTGGGAAACAGCTATCATCAGCAAGCAGATACATATTGTTCATGTGAGAGGAACACTTCTATCCTCTTCAAGGATTCCTGAAATAAAATTCTGTGATTTTGTTGTGCAAGAGATCAAATGTAAAAGATCGTAACAACCTCTTCTGCCAGGAAGCAGAAACGTGTCAGTCATTTCAGACTGCAGTCACTTGTTCTTCAGTGTGCCCTCTGGGAATGATCTCCCAGGAGTTCAGGAGGTAACTCAAGTAACCTTTGGTTTTATGGTGCTTGTGGGTTTTGTATCCTGACTTACAGAATTCTGCCATTAATGTTGGTCTCCTGCTAAAGAAAAAGCCTTTCTTATTTTAGTCACCTGACAGTGGTTTTCTGTTCCTCTCCTCGATCCCTTTCTAAAATGGTGGTATGCCAGATTACTGCTATGCGACTCAGGAAAGAAATAAAAATGTGCATGGTGGAAATGAGCGTATTGGAGATGAGAGGAGCTGAGGAACAGGAAGAGCCTTTGAGATGAGATATCCCAAAGAGCTGGAAAATTGTTTATAGGGGAAAATAGAGGTGAGGAGAAAAGCAGCCCTACCACATTGTCTTCCAGCTGCCCAAGGAATGGTGAAGTTGTATTTGTTTCTCAAGAGACAAAAAAATAATTAGCTCAAATTGTATTCAGCAGGTAAAACTTGGATTTCTGGTGTGTGATACCTGGGAGGAGGAGAGTGCTTGTATTCAGTTCCATCTAATGGTTCTGATGGTGGCATATTTCCCTGCCATCAAGGGTGGTTACTGAACTGCAGCTGTGGCATGGCCACCTCCCTAAGCAAGTTATTAACAACAATAAAAAAATATTTTGGAGGTGTGGTTGAAGTACGGCTGTTCCACTGGATGATTGGGCTGCAGCCTCTGGTGGAGAAAGGAAGGAAGAAGGGTCAGGAGCATCTGGACTGATTTATGACCCCAACAGAGGAGCACTGTGGCACCTTGGGCTGGAGTTGTGAAATTATAATATCATTGATGCATATGCTCTAATTTTGTTAGCTTCAATGGAGACGTGTTTTCTCTTCTAAAATCTCAGCTATGCATACCTGTGACTTAAACTTAGTGCCATTTTCTCTTCTCTCTCAATTTTTAGGGTAAACATTGCATTCTTGATGTTTCTGGTAATGCGATCAAAAGGTTGCAGATTGCCCAGCTGTACCCAATCTCCATTTTTATTAAACCCAAGACAGTGGAAAATATCATGTGAGTAAAAGTAAAGTACCGCAGGCTGAATTGTTTTGAGACTGTCATTGTATTTGAAAGCCAGTTGCAAGTTATGTGAAGACAATTGTAATACTTGTTTTAAACAGTATTTAATTACCTGAGTTTAATTTCTAGGGACTTTGAGATGAGGTTTCTAATCCAAATTGAAGTGCTTGAGAATAAATGTCACTGTGTTAAATTCCATGCAACATAGTGTCAGAACACCTCATTCCCACTACAATCTTTGCTTCGGTGTGTCATTTAGGAGACTGCCTCTTCTTAGGGGTAATACTCAGACAACAGTTTAAAACCTTATTTCAAAAGACCCCAAGTATTTGATAGTATTTTTTAAATGTACAATGTTTTCAATTTCAGGGAAATGAATAAACGCTTAACAGAAGAGCAAGCCAGGAAGACATTTGAGAGAGCCATGAAACTGGAGCAAGAATTTACTGAACACTTCACAGGTGTGTTTTGCTTGGGACTGTTCCCTTGCCAAGAGTTGAAATTTTATTGCTTGCTGTAAAATAGTAATTGCCTCACCACTGAGATAAGGCTGGACTTTGTTTTCCGGCTGATAGGTGATTGTTTTGAGGCATAGCGCCATCTTACTACTTCTAAGATGGTGCTTAGTACTGATTTCAATTTGATAAATTAATTCAATATATACAAAAATTTATTGGGAGCTTAATTTAGATTTTAAAACCTGTGAGACTTCTATCATTTTCCTAGATATTGTAATGCAGATGTTTGCTTTCTTGATATATCATGTGCTTAAAGCTTTTAATTTGCAGAGCTGAGATTGCCCAGTAAAGCTCCCTGTAGAAAATGATTGATTTCCTTTCTTTTTTTAAATCAGACAGTAAAGTTTGGTAATTAATTAAGCCTCTGGAAACTGGGCACTACAGCATTATAGTACTTAGCAAATCAAATTAGCATATGCCATGGACCTAAGTGTAACAGCAAGGGATGGGCAGCAAGCACTCACACTCTGCTAGTTGTTTGCATTGTGGCTTGCAGGAGATTGATCAGGTCAGGATTTTCAGGACAGAAATGAGCCTTCCCTATTCCTGTCCTAGATAGACACTCACTCCTTTCCTTCCTATTATGTTCCCTTTTGCAGCGTTTCAGTGTTTGCTGCCTCATTTACCTCCTTTCTCTGACATGACTCCTTTGCCCCAGTCCTCCTTCCACATCTTACACGGGCAGAGCTGTGAGTGCAGCAGTCTGGTCCACCTGGGTGGAGGCACAGGAAGGGGTGGTGCCTTCACATGGGAGGAAGATAGAGGAATCAGTAGACCCAGTCTTTCCACTGACTTGTTCTCTACGTTGTGTACTACCCACACAATGAAGAACTCAATTCCATCCCTTCTTGCTTGCCTCCTGCCCTCCCTGCAGCCTCGCAGCTGTCAGTTTATCCCAATACTGCATCTAGCTCTCCCACTCTTCCCATAGCACGCTGTCTGTACCCAGAAAGTTATGGGACTCTCAATGTATATTGCAAATTCTTCCTATTATAGAGTCCATTACCAAATGACCTGCAAATGTGTCAGGTTTGTTGTTCAGAAAACAAGTAAGTTTATTTTCATGTATCTTAAATATTAGTAGCTGGTATTCCCCCAGGATGTCTCAGGGCATTTATAGGGCACTTTTTCAAGAAATTAAAGGACATAATTCAAGATGTTTCAAAAGCTTATGGGCCTTTTTAAGAGCCCTCGTGCTCAGAGCCATGTTTCTTCTCAGAAGTATGAGGCTTATTGACAAAGGAAGATAGCAATGGTCAGGCTTCTGTCCCTGACAATCCAGTTCAGGGTAGAAAGGCTTCTCTGAATCTGTTTGAGATAATTGAAGACATCACAAATCCCACTTAATGCTTACAATTTGGAGGCTCCCATCCATATGAGTCAGCTGGTAGAACAGAATGTGTGAGCATTCCCTAATCTGTTAAAAAGTATCACATCGTGTGGGCTAACTGAAATTAACTTCACAAGCAGGTTAAGTTTAAACAGATTTAAACTTTGCACTGAAGCACCTGAAGGCTGCGTCCATCTTCTGTTTTGAGGGTATTGAGCTTTGAAAGAGGTGTGGTTAAACATAGCTGGAGAGAAATAAAATACTGAAGCTTATGGCTATTTGCATTGCAAAGACATTTCTAAATCTTTCTAATGCACCGTTGTGCTGTGAACGTTATACTTGACCTAGAATAATTGAACAGCCTCCTCCCACGGGCACTGTGACAATGGGCTGCAGATGGGCAGAGAGTTTTTAAGAGATGGCAATGAGGAGTAGGAATAAAAAGGAAGTAATTTGCGTGAAAGCAAAGCTTAGAAGCAGCATAAATGTGTTAATGCACAAAAGAGTGAGTCTGGCCTGCCTCCAAAATTATCGTTCATGCTAAACTTTGTTTCTTGGATTATCGACACTGAGGTGGCGATCCTAATTAAAAAGAAGTTGCTATCTCACTATGATTGCTTTTTCAGACTGAAGCATAGTAAGAACAGCTCAAATTTCATCTTCATTCTCACCAGACCATACTTTACTCTGATATGTCAAAACACATCCATATTACTAATTATTTTCTAGCCTTGGAGAAAATATATCTAATTTACACCATCTGAATATAAATTGCACTTTTAACTTTATAAGGAAGTCTGTTCTCTATAAAACTTGAATCTGTTGGCTGGGCAACAAACTCCATGAGTTCCTCCTCTTTTTGACCAAAAGCGAAGGTAGTGCTAGCAGGTAGAAATCCCAAGGTCAGCCAGCCTTGCCGTGAAGTGTCAGGATCCAGCGGAGGAGTTCGCCAGTCTGCATTACACCAAGCCTGACTCAGCCTGACTGCATGAGGACATAGCCCTGTATTCTATCTCGCCTTGTGTTGGAAACACATATGAAAGTTGGACCAAAAAGAATACTGGAGGATGCGAATTGGCTCAGGCAAACTCTTAACGTGGTTAGCAAAAGCAAAAAAACCTCCTCAGTTGTATGTGTATACTTGTAGTAAAGTGAAAACCACTTCCTAACCCCAAGCCTCTGAGTGGGAGAGGTGGTGCTGTGTGTGTCCTGCAGTGCCATCAACAATGTGCTTCACTCCAGCACAGAAACCAGAAGTCTCAGTGGGTGTCCATTCCTTCAGCAATCTAAAATCCTCTTGCCACTCAGAGAAAAGAACGGCTTGGCTTGGAACATCTTGGTTTCTGTACAGAGCTAGGAAGGGTGATTGCTGATTGCCACATTGTGTTTTGCAGCTATCGTCCAAGGAGACACACTGGAAGAAATCTACAACCAAGTGAAACAGATCATAGAGGAACAGTCTGGGCCTTACATCTGGGTTCCAGCAAAGGAAAAATTATGAAAACAGATTTTTATTTTTCATTTTCTAACTGACATCACCTACTACATCTGACGACTCTTAAGCCCTTCCAGTGGAGCCTGCCTCTAGTTCTTTCCAGCGTGGTTCATACCTTAACATTCACATTCTGCAGTTCCCATAATGCTCTACATTTGGTGTCTCTCTTAGTTTAAATAATTTGTATTATTGTGTGTTGTTGGTTTGCCATTTTTCAAACATGACAGTGGAATGGCCTGACCAGCTATTAGTTTGGGGTGGGGGTGGGAGGGAATTGCTTGGTAAAATTCCTTAATGTTTAAGGGAAAGTAACTTTCAAAGATTTTTCAAAAAAGCTTTATAGACATTCTTTTAAAATTTCATAACAATTGAAAGAAAAGTTGTATTCAAGGAAGTTGTAAATCATGAGTAACTTTGCACGCTTAACTTTAATAGCATGGTTCGGTCAGGGCAATCAATTTCAGGTTTTATTTTCTGAGTTAAATTCTATTCTCACAGTATTTTATTTTTTTTCCTTTCCAGGCAGTTAGAGAGAAACTTTCAAGTTTTGAGTTAACGTTTTCATTAACTCCCATTACTATTCCTCAAGGGGTATTCATTTTCATAATTTCATATGGATATTCGTATAATCTATTTTTTCATTTTTTTGCCAATAAAATTGCTAGGGACAAAGATGTGTAATGTTTTTAATCTTCCTCGTGAAACACTATTTATAGTGTCTTACAGAAATTGTTTATAGATAATGGTCATCACACTTTTTGAGCCTAAAATATGTTTAGGTGCTAGGAAACCTTGTATTTTTCAGAGGAATGCCAAATTTCCATTGGCAGTAATACAGAAAACAGCTGCAGAGATGGTCATTAGGGCAATGAGAGAATGATTCGTAGCCTAAAAATGTGTGTGTTCTTAGGGGTCAGATTTTAATGAATATTTTACCCACGATAACTGCCTATTTTGTTATAATAAATATATATATATTAAACTTTCTTTAACTAAACTCTGTAACTATGGGAATTATTTTCTTTACATAGTTGCGCACACGTA